ATTGCTGTCAACAAAGTTAAAGAGGAACACTTTCATCAGCTCGGATGTCCATCTGTATCAGGATTTGTATAGCCTGCTTTTTTAATATATTATCTTAAAAGGCATATTGGGTCCACGATTGCTTCCATCGTTTATGCAACATGTTTTTTATTTCATTAAGCGGATTACTAGGGTTCAGGATGGCACGGAATAAAATGATACGGGCTACAGCTGGAAAACCCTACACGAATTGGCATGTCATTGTCCGCCCCTACTACCATCTGCAGCCAATCATATGTTATTACACATGCCATGTAATTAATCACGTTGACGTCTTAAACCTATCAGCACATGACGGCACCAAACGATAAAACGTCTTGATGACTTCTAGATTTCTCATCATTACATCCTTAATAAAATTACAAAAAAAGTCAATATCTTTTTTAAAAAAATGAAATTTCTCTAAATCAGCTCACACGAAAGGATAGACATATTCGCATGTATGAAAAGGCCACTAGATATCTCAGGTTTTAATATTAAGGTCGACCTTTCAAAAGCTATATCTGTATGTTTGGGCTGGTGCACTCGCACTAAACGTAATAATGAAATAAGTATTTACACTAACTTTTTTTTATGTTAATGAGCTTAGCGTCTATAAAACATTTTATCCGAATACATATTGACTGAGTTAGATGAAACTGACCACACGTGGACATTGTACAATGTTTACGTTTTTTAATTCCAAAGCCTGTGTGTCCTATCAATGTAAAGGTGTGTGTCAGATAATTGTTTTGATATATGAATTGTATGACATTTATGTTTGCATTTAAATCCCTCAAGTGTTGGCATTTCCTGTAGTCAAATCCATATATGTTGATTACAAAAATAGATTGACACTTCGGAAAAATATGATTTATATATTTACCATTTTGCAATGTACTTCCCAGGTACACTTTATTTTTTGTCAAATTTGTTTAACATTGCATATATTTTAGTCTAAACAAGTGCCTTCGTTTGTTCTGCATGATGGTACTGTTGTATTAGTGGATGCCATAGTTTGAGTCCTTCAAAACCACCAACCTAGTGTGTTGCATAATGAATATACAATGTAATTACTCTCAATTCATTATATGGATCAGCAAATACATCAAATGCCTCTGTCAATTTTGGATTATCCCAACAAATTCCTATGCCAATGTGGTTTTTCATTGACTTGTATCAGTTAATTTTGTTTTTAACAACAAAAAAGTCAAAAATGTTTCATATATAAGAACGATATACGCACTTGCATATCATATGTGTGTACTACAATATACTGTTTATTTGTCTTTTATCCCATATTCAAATAAATGCGAGCTGTCCACCTGACAATATTTTTCACTCAGGCAAAAAACAAATCTTGATTATTTACAGCTTACCTGCTAATGTACAGTTGTGCAGAGGAAATGGTCGTTATATTAAAAAGGAACTTGATTATGACCATGGGTTCGAATTTTTAATCAAACTCAAAGGGCAAGTATAAACAATGGGAGATTAACATGAAGACTCGTTGAAATGAACAATAATAATAAGTCCATGTTTTCCAAGATAGTAAGCGTTTTCTGCTTCATCTTGCAAATCGTGCTCATCCTTAGTAGTGAATGTTACGTTCCTAAATTAGAAGGTAAACAACAACGGACCAGTAGGCAAATTAACTAGCATCACATATAACCGACTTCGTAACGAACAAGGGATTAGAATATTTTCCAATAAAACATATCCACAAGATCATTAGAGTTCCCTATCATCCTCATCAACTTGTATCTTTCAAAACCTTGTTTTTTTTATCAGTTACCGACATCTTGCATGAAAATTGTGATATTGGTAACAAGCCGTTGAACATGAAATCAACTGCAATTCGTAAACGCAAAAGGTTGAAGGTGAAGATAAGTTGCTATCGGGAAATGGAATTTTCGTCAACCGACATACTAACAGCTTTTACTGCTAGAATGTTGACCTTTGATATGTTTGCTGTATTTATTCATTCCTCGAGGTTACGTTTACATTACATATATTTATGCTTATAGACTCGAAACATGTACACGATAGTTGATATACACCATATATCATTAAAAGTAACAAGAAATTGTCAGCATACTATACTTAGCTCAAATTCAATAAAACTATGGCAAAATATTAACAAACGAAACATTTACACAGAAACTACTGTGAAGGAGATAAAGACCACTTTTTCCAGAAGCGATAGCATCCAGTAACATTATAAATGGGCATATAAACAAAAGTGGAAGTATTATTTTTCCAATGCACTTATTTGTATGAGAACTGGAGAAAAACAGTACACCCTGCCCAATCTGGTGTGGCGAGAAACGTGTGAGGTTCCGATGCGGCAGATATAACAAAAAACAATAGGAAAATACCATCATGAGAACATCATCATAACCGTAAACTCAAATTCATAAACAATGGGGCAAAATGTGAACAAATGAAATATTTAAATGGAGTCTCTTGAAGAAATACAAGGAGATTAAGTAGAGGTGTTCTGAATAGTAACTGCTTCTTTGTCAATCAGAGTAAGTAATGTCATGTTCTCAAGAGAAACAATGTAATTAACAACGGGACCAACGGCAAACTAACGCGCACCAAACATGTCCCGCTTCAAATCCTACAGAGGAACAGAATGTTTCTCAGTGAGATCTCTATGACGAACGTAAAACTTACCCATTAATTTTATCTAATTGCATCTCATTTAGTTGACGATTTTTTGCATGAAAATCGTGATAACGGAAACATGTCCTTAAATATCAGGTATGTTGCCTTCCAAAAATGTAAAATTCACAAGAAGGAATCATCACGTTAGTCATACAGCTTAGTTGAAAGCTGTTCATGTTGGTGTCGTTTAAGGAAAGGATCGAAATGAGGAACTGATGTAGAAGTCTGTCGTGTCTTTAATTTTCAATTGGTAGGTTTATATGATGGACGTGGTCAGGGAATTATTTGTTTTTCATAGACAAGACGTCTTCGATATTTCTAGAAGTCCAAGACTTTTGCAATAAATGTCCGTACGATCTTGTGCGTTATTACGTTTTGTAGTTGTTTACCAATTCATTACACCAAAAAACGGAATGATATTTCAAATTCTAAGAGTGTGAGAATGAACGTTGTCATACAACGAAGAATGGAACTCTTAAATTGGATTTAAAAAAAGACGAGATATAAGGTTACATATTGTTGCAGTTGGTTAAAACTCCCGGGCAAAATGCTATTTACATGTAAGAATTTGATGTTCAAATATTTATCTTTACTGTTTTAAAGAAAGTAATTGCATTGTTTAATGCAACTGTTTTAACGGCATTATAAAATGCAGACTTTTGTACTGGAGCTTATTTATCTAGTAGTATAAATGTTACATGTCATATGTTGCCTATAACGATTTAAATTAAAATTCTTATTTTAAACGTATATTGTTTCTTCATAATCCTAACCAAATCAGGATTTCAACATGAAGATCATCCGATATGATACTATTTTAACAGTAATCTTGATCGCCAATAAAAGTTTATGCGCGTTTTTTCAATTCGTGTTTTTTTTTTTTTTTTTTTTTTGTTTGTTAACTACAATATAAAACGTTTCTTAAAAGGAAACTTACGGCTTTAGAAATAACCCGTCTCCTGAATAAACCCCTTTATGCACCACAACTTTCTAATGACTAAGTAACGACATCGTAAAAACCCCATTACTGTTTATATATGTATACGTTAGGTAGGTACACTTACTGAACATAAGTCTACTTGTACTAACTTTTAAAATATACATGTCATACATGGAAGTAAGACAATATTTCAGTATATTGAACCCTATTTATTAAGCCGAAAGTTTTGGTTTATTGTCAGTTAGTTTAATTATGTTTCGCTTTATTTGCACTTCACAAAGCAATGTAAGGCGTTCACACTGTATTGGTCAGGGGTGATGAAAATAGCTGTGAACATTTCACTGATTGAAGTATGGAATTCCAAATTTTGTATGGCCATCCCGTTAACTTTACTTACGAAGAATAAGTACTAATCCTAAATTAGTGATGCTAGAATTCACATGCACAATGTATATTTGTAAGTGAAGGTAACTGAGTCCGTCTTTTGTCAATCGTCAAATCTCTTTACAAATAATTTGACATCATTTAGTTCTGCACCGACACATCAATCGGGATGTATTCGAACGCATCGACGTCTCCCCACGATACGCTGAAAGGCCTTTTCCCTGCCGTTTTTATTATGGTTTCATCAGATTAAGAACATAGTAAATACGTTCTCCGCTCCACGTGCACAGGTAAATTTTTACTGTCATGTACCCTACTCATTGAATTTCCTCACTGCTATGTCAGCTTGACGAAATTATTTCAGTAGAATTTGTTATCCATACTTGAAAATTTGCATGTTTCTATTAGACATATTTAATCATCTATTAAAAAATCTTAACTTGCAAAATATATAGTATGGCATGTAATTGTGTCTTTCCTGATCGTGCTGTAGGTGGTATTTCATTCATTACGTCTAGTGTCGTTTGATGATTGTTATTCATAAACAGGATCGAATGACGCAGGTTGGATCAAGGTTAAGTGTATATTGATGGGAAGATACACCAGAGTATTAGTGCTTTTGTATTTAAGCGTTATTTCTAATTCGTAGAGACCGCAGAGTTTTTGTCAGGTCCAGTAATATCAAACTTTTTAAATGGTGTGTTTGAAATAGAGTGAGTCCGGAAAGTTTTTTTCAATTTAACAGTTCGATGCCGTTGTTTATTGTCGCCAGGGAAACGATTATTGTTCACTTGAAACGTGCATATAACATTAGGTGTTATTTTCGTGAGCAGCTATATATAGAAGCTATTTTGGATACACTGTATTTGATAGGTATAAGGTCATAACTGATCTATATAATATATAAAATATATTCGATATCCGATTATATGGCAAACAGTGAAAAGGACATGCGGTCAACACATCTGGCCATAGTCTAAAATAGAAAATGGATTTACACAACACATTTTTATTGACACTGTTGTCATTACTTCTTTCAGTATGTTCAGGTAAGGTTGTTTTGTTACTTTTTTCACCGTTTTCTTGAATTGCTGTTTTCAAAATCTTAACATTTTATGTTAGATTAAATGTTAATTGATTCATAATAGCTAAATACCTTTAACAGTTTTTTCTTTAAAAGATGCCTACGTATTTCAGTTCAGAAACATTAAATACTAAAAACTAAATTTCTTTAATAAAAAAAACAGTGTTTTGTTTAAAGATACCTTTAAAAAGCTATATACAATCTTGATATTCGTTATCCTATTCACATATCCTGAATGTCATTGTAATCATGAACGAACGTATACGAATTGGTCCGCCAGCATTGCTGACTGAATTCTAGCAATTTTTTGTGTACAATATTTCCTATAGTTATTTCTGAGAGCTGCACTTTTTACACGAGCGCCACAACGTTGGTTCGTACTTGTACTACTGGATGCTGTGACACTGGCTGCTGTACTGATGATTACCAAACGTAAGTGTTAACTCTGTTGTGTTAATCTGTTAATTGTAACATTGTATTACATTAAATCTATATTCACCACTGTAATATGTTAGGATGCCCAATTTGTGTGGTTTATTGTTAAAATATAGTTTATTGCTGTTAAGCAAAATGATTGGGAACACGTTACAATAACAAAAACAATTGCATATATGCATCACAAGAAAGGTAAAAGTAATCATTTCCATATCATTTTTAAGAGAGAGAGAGAGAGAGAGAGAGAGAGAGAGAGAGAGAGAGAGAGAGAGAGAGAGAGAGAGAGAGAGAGAGAGAGAGAGAGAGAGAGAGAGAGAGAGAGAGAGAGAGAGAGAGAGAGAGAGAGAGAGAGAGAGACTCGATTTTCATGGCTAGATAAATACATTCTTACAAAATACATCTTAAATATATCTTACACTTTATTATACATTTAACCGCACCAACCGAATCATGCTATATCACATAACACAAGCATGTGCGCATGAGATGAAAATTCGGACACAAATTAAACTGGAAAAAAATAATTATGCGATTTCATAGGGAGACACAAGAGCGTGGAACGTGACCTGTCTAAAACCGGCGAGTACTCAATATGTACTGATGGACATATATAAATAAATCCTTATTATCATCACTTGAGTAGTCTTCATGGCCAATTGATAATGTGTATGGTGTTGCCATCCCCAACGATCAATATGCATTAAACTGTGACAATTTATATGCTACAACAGATACTTTTATGAAACAAATGATAGCATAACGTATCCAACCTGCATGTAAAATAGATCACATTTCGAACGTGAAGTAAACCATATTTCTACCACAAGGCATTGTGTTATATCACTCTCAGACTATTGTTTAATATGCTGTGGATTGGATACCTTTACTAGAGGTAATTTAGGTAAATGACCTGCCGGTCTTTTGATTGGTTGACCGAAAGGGCATTTAGTTCATTAAATTTAAACGCGTAATTAGAAATTCATAATTGTTTTAGTAGAAATTTGTTTTTTTTTTTTATTTATCTCTTTCAATTTATTGACTTGAATGTAACAAATCCATATACTACTTGATATGATTTGTACTGAATTTATACTTTTCCACGTATTTCTAAAATGTTAGTTTTGCATATAAATTAGAGGCTTTTCACTACAAAGCATATTCGTCAAACAAACTATTACCCAAAGCACAAAACTATTGAGATAGAAATATCATATACAACAACCACTCGTTGTGTAATATGTTTTACATATCTACTACAATATGTATCTAATAATTATAAATTACGTATATCATGCACGAACATATTGTATTAAATGTTTGGGTTTTTTTTTTCAATCGTTTCAATAACTTTATCATGATTGTACAAAGGACGCCCAAGTGAATAGTACCTTTTAGTGATATAGTACTAACTGAAGTAACGTTAACTTTATGTCTTAATAGAATTCAAAGTTTAATGATTTTGGCTGACGTTTACATATATATTTTATTTCGTCCTTTGAAAGACGTAATTAATTCAGAGTAACGTCATTAATTCCTTTTGATGTCTATGTATTGCCTTGGATATAAGTTTAACATAATCTTTTCAGGAATTGTATACATTTCTATATTACAACTTTGATTCCCCTACTTTAACAATGGATATAAGTTGACTATTAACAAGTTCAAGTACAATATATAAATGTTTTATGATACTATAGTTTGCATATTATATTATATGATATGGTTTTAATATTAACATATTGTATGACATGAATTTGAAATGTAAATACGTAATTAACCAGCGTTTCAAAACCTCCACTTTCAGATTGGCTATAATACTAGGGACTGTGTTTGGCTGTCTTCTCCTAGTTTTCATCATTGCGCTTGTGGTAGTGTGTGTGACAAGAGACCGGTGGTCGAAACGAGTAAACCCTAAAAACAAAGGTATGTATGTTGTCCAATAAGCATCAATATCTTCATTGTCTTCATCATGGTGTCGATTTGCGACAAAAAAGAGAACATTTGTTTCTTGACCTACATTCAATGACGGTTTAAACTTGCGGTTCTTTGTTCGAGCCCATCAAGGGGCTCCTAAAACGAAGGTATTTAATTTTCTATACGTTATGTACGATCGTTCTATCAAACCAAGCGAATGTCTTTATATCAATAACAGGAGAAAAACCGAAGATTACGGGTAACAGAAGCAGGGATATGACTCATTACGGCCCTTATGGCCACTGACGAGTCCTAGAAAGACGAAGCAGCTGTGTGGTGTAGCATCACAGACGCGTCCTAGAAGACCGAAGTAGTTGTGTGATGTAGCATCACTGACGCGTCCAAGAAGGACGAAATAGTTGTGTGATATAGCATCACTGACGCGTCCTAGAAGGACGAAGCAGCTGTATGATGTAGCATCACTGACGCGTCCTAGAAGGACGAAGCAGCTGTATGATGTAGCATCACTGATGGGACCTAGAAGGACGAAGTAGTTGTGTGATGTAGCATCACTGATGAGACCTAGAAGTACGAAGCAGCTATGTGATGTAGCATCACTTACGCGTCCTAGAAGGACGAAGCAGTTGTGTGATGTAGCATCACTGACGCGTCCTAGAAGACCGAAGTAGTTGCGTGATGTAGCATCACTGACGCGTCCTAGAAGGACGAAATAGTTGTGTGATGTAGCACCACTGACGCGTCTTAGAAGGACGAAGCAGCAATATGATGTAGCATCACTGACGCGTCCTAGAAGGACGAAGTAGCTGTATGATATAGCATCACTGACGTCCTAGAAGGACGAAGCAGCTGTATGATGTAGCATCACTTACGCGTCCTAGAAGGACGAAGCAGCTGTATGATGTAGCATCACTGATGGGACCTAGAAGGACGAAGTAGTTGTGTGATGTAGCATCACTGATGAGACCTAGAAGGACGAAGCAGCTATGTGATGCAGTTTGATTCATTGTTGTGCTCTATTGTATCTAATTCTAAACTTGTATGAAAAGGTGTTATTTTGAATAGCCTTTGGTGGTTTCTAGAGAGAATATCTTTTATTGTGTCTTAACACGTTTTATTTCTCATTAAAGGTTCCAAGCAAACAAAGAAAAATGAGGATGTGATGCTTACAGACATGGAGACCAACAATACAGCGTCGGTTTGATCGTTCAAAAGTTTACAGAAATAGATATTTCTGCTCCAGGGGGATTTACAAGAATACCAATCACAGACTGCTAAGCTTCTTAGTGAAATTAAGCAAATAGCCCTTGGTAATATGATATGAAGCATGAACGAGATAGAATAAACTTAAGCTGCTAGTCAGTTTATTACGCATCTCTCAAGGTCATAAGACAATGCAATAAATAAAGTATTTGCTTAAAATTAGGATAACCCTGATCACGGAACATTATGTAACATGACAGAGCCAGTAGTTAGCGAACATTTTATAACATGACAGACCCAGTGGTTACCGAACATTGTGTAACATGACAGATCCAGTGGTTACCGAACATTGTGTAACATGATAGACCCAGTGGTTAGCGAACATTGTGTAACATGACAGACCCAGTGGTTACCGAACATTGTGTAACATGAAAGACCCAGTGGTTACCGAACATTGTGTAACATGACAGACCCAGTGGTTACCGAACATTGTGTAACATGACAGACTCAATGCTTCCAGAACATTATGTAAATATCAGACTCAGTTCTTATAGAACATTATGTAACATGACAGACTCAATGCTTACAGAACATTGTATAAAATGACAGATTCAATGCTTACAGAACACTGTGTTACATGACAGACCCAGTGGTAAGAGAACACTGTTACATGACAGGCTCAATGCTAACAGAACGTTATGTAACATGATAGAACCAGTGGTAACAAAACATTGTGTAACACGACAGACTCGATGCTTACAGAACATTGTGTCACATGACAGACTCAATGCTTACAGAACATTGTGTAACATGACAAACTCAATGCTTACAGAACATTGTGTAACATGACAAACTCAATGCTTACAGAACATTATGTAACTTGACAGAATCAATGCTTACAGAACATTGTGCAACATGACAGACTCAGTGGTTACAGAACATTGTGTAACATGACAAACTCAATGCTTAAAGAACATTGTGTAACATGACAGACCCAGTGGTTACCGAACATTGTGCAACATGACAGACCGAGTGGTTACCGAACATTGTGTAACATGACAGACCCAGTGGTAATAGAACATTGTATAACATGACAGACCCAGTGGTTACCGAACATTGTGCAACATGACAGACCAAGTGGTTACCGAACATTGTGTAACATGACAGACTCAATGCTTACAGAACATTGTGTAACATGACAGACTCAATGCTTACAGAACAATATGTAACATGACAGACCTAGTGGTAATAGAACATTGTATAACATGACAGACCGAGGAGTTACCGAACATTATGTAACATGACAGACCCAGTGGTAATAGAACATTGTGTAACATGACAGACCCAGTGGTTACCGAACATTGTGTAACGTCGCCTGCTTCATCTTGTAGAGTTCTGGACAATAATGACGGTAGTGAAATGACCATTACAAGCATTTATCGTTTAGAGAGATGTTATGTATCTTGATAATGTTAAACTTCGAAAGCCTTTTTGACATCTTTTAACTTAAATGACCTATCTCTATAAATGGCATGTCTGCTTTATGAATGAGACATGGCGTGATCGTTTAGCTTGAACTGGCATTATAACTTTACCTGGATCGTACTTTTATTATAATAACAATTATCATTATTGTTTTGTGCTAATAATGATATGTCACAGAAACAATAGAATTTTACTGTCGAACTAATTTAAACATTTAATCGTGTATGGTGAACATGTCGTACACCTGGTTTGCTGCATTCAAGCAGGCCTTGCGGATCTTTTGGAATTTTGTTCGTGTGTGTAATGTGTTGTCTCTCAAATTACTACAAATAACTGAAATAAATATATTAGTATTTTTCATGTTTGGCAGTAAGAGGAGAAATATCATTATCATTGCTTCAAATAATCTTATTTGTCAGGAAAATAGTAACATTCAAATAATGATAATTTTTTTTAAGAATTGTGCCTCTCCGAACTGGCAGTGCTCCTCGTCAAAAGATTCTGCAATTGGTTACACCTGAAAATAACAAAAATAGGAAAAATTTTCGTTAGAAAAAAGAGAATGTTCTACTTCGGTGTTTTATGGCAAAATCAATATTTCTTTCACGGTTAAATTTACTGACCGAAATGCAATGAAGGTTAATGTACAGCAGAGAGTTGTTTGAAGAGTGTCAATTATCGCTAATTTTATTGTAATAAATAATTTAGTCCATATGAACCGCAGACTCCCACAAATGTACATTCTGCAATATTGCGAAATATCTTACCAGCTTACATAATATTCGATCTCTTTTTTTAACCCAAGATTTAGCATATATTTAAATCTGAGAGGCTATAACAATATGTCTAGAAATATCAAATACAAATATGTTTTATTTATAACACGATCACATTTTTATTAGCATAAATAAGATGAATGCCGATTGGTTTGAAACTAAGACAATGATTTATAGCTGTTTGTTTAGAGCTCCTGACGAATGAATGCTAAATATGTATGTTGATAGCTTGGTGTAAACGTTTTTCACCACAAAGATGTGTGTTGCAATCAATCATACTAGCGGCAAGCCATTGTTTACAGTGTTTCCTTGTTTTCTTAGTTTTTACATATTTTTGTTCAGAATCTGTTCTGCTCTGTATGTCTGTAAATTGTGAGATTGTGTGTTTTTTGAAGATTTTATGCGAAAATCAGATTAATTTCTTTGAACAAATTTAACTAATATATTGAAACTTTTATGATATAAGACATTATTACATTATTGACAATAATACATTTTATATTTCATGTTAGATATAGTTTAAAACTTGATGTATGTAATGTTTAGAAAATGTTTTAAAATTATCTTTTACTTGCGTTTTTCCATTGATCTGTAAACTTAATAGCTCGTGACTTGTTAAGGAGACAAGAAACACGTCTTTGTTTTAAAGGACATAAATCATGAATTAATTTGCTGTTAATCATATGTTCTTCATGTTATTTATATAATTGGAAAAACAGTTTCTGTAAATATACATGTTCTATTACATGAAATAATTTGACTTAAAAGTGCTTGCATATTACATGATCTATTGTTTCATTTATCAATAATTTGCATTTTACATAATTCATTCCTTATAGCTTCACTGAGGAGTGAAGTGACGAAATACATGTATGATTATTTTTTTATCTAATTTAGATTTGTAATGAAAGTTGTTATTCACTTGTGTGTTTTTTGTAATAGCTTTTTTTGATGTCCGAATATCATTTTCGTACCATTCGGTCTGAGCTTCTCTGCGAAATGCAGGGAAGGGCAATAACTACAAGCAGGACTTTTGCTATTTAATATATTGGGAATGCCTTCTATGGGTCTTTTTGACTTAGATGTGAATTGATCACTGAAGGTTCATCATTACTGAATTAAAGTGTACGTGGGGAAACGAATATAGATATAGATATATTAAATTATTATATATGATCAAAATAAAAAAAATCTCGTATCAAAATCGACCGACCAATACCGAGATATTGCCTTGTAAATGTGCAATTTCACATGTCCTTCTGCTAATAATCAGCATAGGCGCAAACTAGTGCTGCATGGGACAATAACGACTGTGATGGCACAAGCTCAGACCTATAACAACAACCGTGGCAGGGATGGGCGATATTGAAAACCGTCAACATATCCCAAAATATTCGTAATCCAAAATAAGATTAAATTAAACTAGGACAAAATATGAACAAAAGACAGATTTACATAGAGACTTCTGAAAAATTACCGCCAGTATTAAAATAAGTTGATACATATGTCATAACAGCACCAGTAAGTAGGGACGTAGTAACCTTTATTGAGACAGGAGAAAGAGAGACAACGACTAATAGCATGGCGCGGATACCGGGTAGCGGGATCCGGAAGAAATGTCACATGGCCATCACTGGCGCTACCCTTTTTCTTTGCAAACCAAAAATACCTTTTACAAAACTTCAGATGACACTTTAGACGACACTGAACAAGTCTGACTTCCTGTCATTAAAAGACAAAAACCAAGTCAAATTTTCAAACATCAATACAAAACATAGTCTTCAAATGCTGTAGGTGCCCGTTTTGCACGCCTCGACCGACGTACAGCATTGTCACTGGACTGCGAAACAATGTCCTCAACTGCTGCAGGAGTATCAAGTAATGGTACTGGGTTGACTGGAATGTCCGTGATAACTGATGGAATATCGGGCTCTGGCGGTGGATCTAGCACTATTGTAGACTGCGGGACTGGAATGTCCGTGATAACTGATGGAATATCGGACTCTGGCGGTAGATCTAGCACTATTGTAGATTGCGGAGTGTCACCGTCCTCGTCTTCAGATTCCTCACCATGTAAGAGTGGCTGGGGAAAGCTGTCTTGTCCCATTACCTTAAAACAATCAGAAAGGCGTACTCGGTAGGATCCTTTTCTAAGCTGGTTACCGGCAAACTTTCGGATATTACACCACGAGCCCTCAATGCTTGCGACTAAGTATCGGTCTCTAGATTTGGCTTTAATGCGATCCCCGTGGAGGTAGACTAAGTCTCCAGGCACTAATGCAGATGGCAGTTGGGTGCGGCCAGATGGCGTCTTGCACTTTTCGCTGTGAGGGTGGTTTTTCAATCGAGCGGAATTCTGTTGGAGAATGATATCCTGATCTGCTAGAGGGATTTGTTTGTTGAAAAACTGATCTCTTTGTGTCATCATTTCACGAGCAGATAATCCTCGCCCACGTATGCGTGTGTTTAGACGAGCTGTAGCCAAAGACAGAAGAAGAGGGGTCACAGCACGACATCCTGGCTCTAAACGTAATATCTCTTCCTCCAGCTCCTGAATAGCCCTTTCTGCGACGGGGTTTTTGTTGATGTTTTTAGCATTACCCAGTTCTATTGCAAGACGATACTTTTCCAGAGATTCATCATTGATCAATGCTTTAAATCCTGGAGCAGGGTCGGTTCTTATGACGGCAAACGGGCCGTCAAGCGGATGGTGCTCAATACATAGCCTAATCAAACCATC